CCTAAAAGACACCTAATTCCTGCATATATGTATTTCGAAAATCTAAAACAAAAATTTAAAGATTGTGCAGCTAGGTTAACAGCGCTAAGCTAGCTGAAAAACACATTTTTGCGAATTTCTCGAAAACCAATTGAGCTACTAAGTTAGTTTTAGTGCCGTTGAGGAACACGTTATTCCTAGATAATCCTTATTGATTTTTGCCGACTTGGGTCAGCTAGGTTTGCGGACGTATAAAAATGACATTAATGTTACCAATAACGACTTTTTTGGAAATATTTTAGCAGTTGCCCCATAAACTAGAGAAATACATATTAAATAAATGAAAACAGTTTGCTATTAGTTTTAGGGTTTGAGAAAATTAAAAAAATGTAGTACATATAGTACATTTGTGCACCTTTTGTCAGCTTTCGCATGACCATGATGAGTAATATTGACGACAGCGCAACTAGCAACATATAAGTTTCAACCGTCCAGCTCTGTATCCCTTTGCAGTAGTTCAGAGGCAGTTCTGAAATTTGTAGGGCGGAACTAGCGCTTTGCCAGGCTGTCCCTAAATTTTGCTGTAGGGCAGCTATCTCCGGCAGCTCGGGCGGTGGTGCGAGTGCGTTCGGAACATCACCTCGGATGCACTAACAAATAAAGTTTGGTTTTTGTTATTATTATTTTTTTTTAATATTGTTTTTCCTGTTTTTTGTATTTTTAATCTCCCTTAGATACCCAGTAATTTGTCTCACAATTTTTGGCTCACCCTAATATTCATACTGTCTTGTAGTTCGTTACATATTAGGCGTGATTTTTTTTTGTTTGAGCTGTAAGGGGCAAACTTTATGTGTGCTTATGAATAGTTGTCGATAAAATCAAAATTACCTTGTTTTAAATAGATATCGTCGATTCTTGTTTTTTTACAAGTTATGCGCAGAGCCAACTCTCAAAAAACTTGAAATTTATCGAAATCATTTCGAAATTTCAAATTTTTCAATCAGGGTCTTAATAATGTCGATATCCTTCTTAATTATCTAAAATGCCAATCTTTCACATAAAAAAGTTGTTGTGTAAATATCGAAGTAAACGGTTCGTGTATGCGTGCCAATGCATAGACCATTTATGTAATTGTTTATTTTTTATTTTTTCAGAGAAAAAATCGAAACAAATCAGATGTTAACCCAAATATTTTCGACAAAATTCTCATAATGGAAAAAAGCTGGAACACGATATCACGCCGAAAAAAGCTTCAACCCCCAACATACTGCGCTAAAACTTTTTTGCACCCACATTATAAAATAAAATATTGTTGAATATTAAAGAACTATAGGTTGAGGGAGTGTGCTTAGTATCACCGTGATTTTAGTTAAATTTTGGGATTCCCTTTTTATGGTAAGTCAATCAAAACATATACGAAATGAATTGTACCTATTGTAGTTAGTAAATAGTGATCAGCAGGGAACGAATTTTTATGGCCTAAAAACCTATAAAAAGGCAAAATAAAATAACGAAATAGGCTAGAAAAGGCAAAATAAAATAGCGAAATAGGCAGGAAAAGGCACTGGAAATTGCAAAAAAGGTAAACACAGCTATCCTCAATCAAAAAGAAGTTAAACGAAAATGCCTAATGAAATGGTTTACCGCATCTTATTCCAGCTATTTCATAGTTTAAAAATCCGTTGCGAAGGAAATCCTACCTGATCGTTTAGCAGTTTTTTCAACAATTACTTTTTTCGATCTTAAAATATTTTTTCGGACCCAAGTAACAATATCCTTTTTAAGTAACTTTTTTCGTCTTACGTAAATTTTGTATGTACACGTAAATCTTAGTAGTAAAACAACGGAAAAAGTGAGTTTGAGAAGTAAACACGACGAAAATCGGTCAAAAATGTGTGCCCGTTGTGAAAAAAAATTGTTTCTAGCAATCATCAAATTAGTAATGCCATCAGCGAGAAATATGAGAATCTTATAAAAAAAGCATGTAAATGCAAACTTTGAAGTGTCTGAACAAGTCGTACTTTAAAACACTTATGGAAATTAAAAAAATGATCATGAGCAGTTTGTACTTGGAGGTGAAAATAAGAAACTGGCAATGGAAAATCACTCAGCTCTCCTCAAAGAAGATGATAATGTACTTGTTATTAAAAAATGTCCAATTCCTGAATTACATGTGTTACAAGGAACGGATTAGTTTCGCCACTTACAAAAGCAACTTCTGCAAAATTCAGATGCGCTAGATGATCCTGAAATTTATTCAAATGTAGGCAAATTTTCACTTACACCTTTTATTTCTGCTTTCAAAGCTATGAACGAAATTGTAGATTTTTGTTGTTCTATGTCACCACCCGGCCAGGATTTAGATAAATTCATTAAAGAATTGAAAAAGGCTTATGCCAGTACAAAAGTTTCTGTGACATTGAAAATTCACGTAATTTTTTGAACATCTTGAGCATTCCTTGCATTTTTTGGATGGCGAGGAATTTTGATTGTGGTCGGAGCAGCCAGGTGAATCAGTTCATAGAGACTTCTTAAACGTTTGGAACCGCTACAAAATCAACGTGAAAGAAGAACCAAGAAAGATTAAGAAGAATGGTCGTAGAATACTCCTCCGTGCATATTTAAAATTTACATTGTATATTAAAATATACAATATTTAGTTTAAATAATTTTTTTGGTTCAAACCAAATCGTTATTTTTATTATTCTTGTATCATTTTATTACTCTTGTATCATTTTATAGTAATTGTCAGTTATTTTTCAATTCCATAACTATTTTTTCGTAATTATAAAATACATTGTTACATTAAATTTCTTCCAAAAGCCTACAGTAACCTGGCTTTCCTGCGTAGATATGCGAAAGACTTTAAGGATCCATACACCAGGAAAGCTTTATTTATCTCTTTAGTACGATCAAAACTAGAGTACGCTTCTATTATATGGAACCCCATTTACAGCTGTCATGCCGCCAGACTCGAAAGAGTGCAGAGAAAATTTGTTCGTTTTGCGTTAAGTTCCCTTAACTTTGATGACCCAATGCCCTCATATTTTTCCTGTTGTAAACTTATTCACCTACAAACTCTTGAAACTAGAAGAATTGTCCAGTTGCTCATGTTCGTTTTTGATTTGGTTTTTTGGCTCTTTGGATTGTTCGGTCCTTCTGGAGAAGATATCCTTTAATGTGCCTCACAGATTTCTACGCTCATCTCTGCCGTTTTACTTGCGTGCTACTAAGGCTAACTATTACCATTTTGATCCGATTTTCCGCGCTCTGACAGAATTTAACAAGATCTCAAAGAGTCTAAATATTGATTTTTCGTTGCCGAGAAATATTTTCAAATCATCTATTGATTCATTTTTCTTATAACTACTTGTGTATCTAAATCTATAGTATTTAGTGTTAATTATGATAGTCTTATTTTTATCTAGTCTGTAAGATTGTAATCATAGACTAAATAAACTGAATAAACTAAAAACTAAAACTAAACTAAAAAAAAACTAAATTAACAAAAAAAATAAAGATAAAAAAGTAATTAAAAATATTTATAGATCGAAAAAAGTAATTGTTGAAAAAAAAACTACCAAACGATCAGCTAAGATTTCATTCGGAATGGATTTTGAAATCATGAAATAGCTGGAAAAAGATGCAGGGAACCGTTTTATTAGGCATTTTCATTCAACTTCCTTTGGATTGAGGATAGGTGTGTAAAACAAGCACTAAAAAAGACAAAACCTGAAAAATTATCGAAAACTTATTTTACAAGTAAAAAGAGAAAAATTATGAAACTATCTTTGACTTCTCGAGCTTTTAACTCACAAATCTTTAATCTCTATAGTTGTAGTAACATTGAACCACAAGATGCATTTTGAAGTTTTCTGGCAGCATTTTCGATTCGATTCGATTCTTTGCGAAGAAAAGCTTTGAATGTACTAAACGTGCGCTCGGGGTGAGTTGATACAAATGGCGCCCAATTTAAATTTGGAACGTTTAAAACTTTTATATTATCAGGAATAAGGGCTTTTTGCTTGCCCTTTACACCTAAAGTTAGAAAAGGCAAATATTTTAAAAAAGGCAAAAAAAATCGGCATCAAATGTGTATATATGGAATCAGGGAAAGCTAAATCGTGGACATTCTTAATCGAACATACTCTATCTCTTTAGCAGAGAAAAAAGCAGTTTCCATAAAATCCGTTCCTTGGTGATCAGACATGTGTATGTATGACGTCTGTAAAGTCAAGTGTCAAATGAAGTGCTTTCACTTTTCACGTGTGTCAAGTTAGCACTACACTTTTCGAAATTGGCAAAGTTAACTACGGCATTAATTGTAGTGTTTTTGTTGTAAATTTGTTGTGGAAAGAAAAAATTTGTAGCTCTCATTTTTTAAAAAATATGGTATGTAGTGCTAACTTGACACCATACACCTAGTCGATAGAATTGAGATATTGAAAATGTTATAACGGCATTAATTGCAGCTTTTTTGTTTTAAATTTGTAGTGGAAAGAAAAAAATTGTAGCTTTCGTTTAAAAAAAAAATGGTATGTAGTAGAGATGGGCACGGGACTAAATATTTAATCCCGACCCGCCCATCCCGAAATTCGATTTTTAAGTCCCGAACCCGCCCATCCCGACATTTTTCAGAATTGTACCGCGGGTCCCGTGGGTCCCAATATCTATCTCTAAAGCAGGCTACAACAAATTGAAACGAGCGGTTGAGATTTCAACGTGTGTGGCGAGGTTTACAAACCGATCGAAAGTTCACAAAAATGTTCATGTCTTTCATATTAATTTTAAATAATAATGAAAGATCTGGCATCTTCTCATATTTTTTTTTTCTTTTTCGTCTCAATAAAACATTAAAAGTGCATATTTCAAACATCGTTTTTGCGGGGGTTGTGGTTTTATCGGGAGTGTCGGGATATTTTTACAGATCTTTCCGATACCGCCCGACCCGGCCAATTTTAAATCAGTACCGTGGGTCCCGCGGGTCCCGCTATCCCGCGCCCATCTTTAGTATGTAGTGCTAACTTGACACCATACACCTAGTCGACAAAATTGAGATATCCAATATTTTACTATGCCATTAATTGTAGCTTTTAACTTTAAAATTTGTTGTGGAAAGAAAAAAATTGTAGCTTTCGGTTTTCGGGAAAAAATTGAATTGACCCTTTTTCAAACAAAATTTAGTATGTAATGCTAACTTGGCACCATGCACCATTGACGACAGAATTGAGATATTGAAAAGGTTACAACGGAATTAATTGTAGCTTTATTGTTGTAAATTTGTTGTGGTAAGAAAAAATTGTTAGCTTTCGTTTTTTAAGAAGAAATTGTATGTAGTGCTAACTTGACACCAGACTCCTAGTCGACAGAATTGAGATATCCAATATGTTACTATGCCATTAACTGTACCTTTTAACTTTAAAACTTGTGAAAAGAAAAAAAATTGTAGCTTTCGTTTTTCGGGGAAAAATTGATTGATCCTTTTTACCTTCCTTTTATTAACTCGGGATGTAACTATGTAATATTGATGCGCCTAAAATATGCAGCGATTTCTATTCTCAAGTTACATACCTGATGACAGTACGAATAGCAATTATAATAGGGAGGTTTTAGTTTTTTAAACTATTATTACCTTAAAGGCAAGCTAAGAAGATTATAACAAAAGAGGACCACAAACAAAACACATTCATATTTAGATACATGTCGCTAGCTTAAAGTGAAAAGTTGTTAAGTCCGCTTTTTATTCGAACAAAATTTAGTATGTAGTGCTAACTTGGCTCCATGCATCATTGATGACAGAATTGAGGTATTGAAAAGGTTACAACGGAATTAATTGTAGCTTTTTTGTTGTAAATTTTTTGTGGAAAGAAAAAATTTGTTGCTTTCGTATTTTAAGAAAAAAATGGTGTGACACCATACACCTAGTCGATAGAATTGAGATATTGAAAAACAACAAAATTTAGTATGTAGTGCTAACTTGGCACCATGCATCATTGACGACAGAATTGAGATATTGAAAAGGTTACAACGGAATTAATTGTAACTTTAATGTTGTAAATTTGTTGTGGTAAGAAAAAATCTTTAGCTTTCGTTTTTTAAGAAAAAATGGTATGTAGTGCTAACTTGACACCATACACCTAGTTGACAGAATTGAGATATCCAATATGTTACTATGCGATTAACTGTAGCTTTTAACTTTAAAATTTGTTGTGAAAAGAAAAAAATTGTAGCTTTCGTTTTTCGGGGAAAAATTGATTGACCCTTTTTCGAACAAAATTTAGTATGTAGTGCTAACTTGGCATCATGCATCATTGTTTTTTTCAGAAAAACGAAAGCTAAAATTTTTTTCTTTCCACAACAAATTTACAACAATAAAGCTACAATTAATG